ACCACCTCAGTTACGAGTGGAAGCACAGCCTTCAACATTCATAGCAGGAAGATTCGGATATTAAGCCAATTCTGGAATGGATGAAGGCCAGTGCTCCCAAGCCCAAGTGGAGCGACGTCTCAGCGATGAGTTCGACCACGAAGAGCTATTGGTCCCAATGAGACAGCTTGCTGATTCAGGGTGGAGTTTTATGCCGTAAATGGGAATATTGTCGGGGAGATAGCTGTCATTTGCAAATGGTTCTTATTAAAGCTAAAGTACCGGATGTTACACTACACTACAGCTGTACCATAATGGTTGTTCATGAGGCCATCTGGAAGTTAAACAAACTCTATCTATAAGAAGATCCGAGAACTGCTTTACTGAGTCCACTGTCGTGACGATGTCGAAGATTGATGTCGCAATTGCACAAGTTGTGCGGCTTTGAAGGGACCTCAGACTCCTAGTATAGACGCATGGAAATTGTACAATGTTGGTGTACCATAGGAGAGGATAGCCCTTGACGTTGTTGGCCGTTTCCGGAAAGTGAAATTGGTAACAAGTATTTTATGGTTGTGATAGATTTCTTCACTAAATGCCCAGAAGTCTTCGCCATTCCAAATCAGGAAGCTTCCACAGTTACAAATAAACTGGTTCGTCAATTTTTCTGTCGTTTTGGAGTTTTTAGAGATTCACAGCGATCGAGTAAAAAATTTCGAGTCTCAAGTATTCCAGGAAACTTGCCTGATGATGATCTGATGGAATGGTAGAACGATGTAATCGGACACTGGAGAGGTACCTAGCTAAAGTTGTGGAAAATTGGCAACGATATTGGGACAAGCACATACAATCGTTTTTGTTGTCATATCCAAGCGCTGTTCACGAAAGTACAATGGTGACACCGGCTTTCGCAAACTTTGAAAGAGAATTCTGGCTGCCTGCGGACTTAATTACCGGAATACCACCTGATGCCTCAAGTAACGGTAGTAGCCTGACTTGCGGAACAAAATTAATGACATTTATGAGCACGTCAGACAATCAGGCCAGCAAACGTTTGAAAAAATAAAAACCCGGTATGACAGCAAAATGAACAACAAAGTGTTCGACGAAGGGTCACTAGTGTGGTTGTACAATCCAGTTCATAGCAAAGGAAAATCCCCTAAGCTTCAAGCTAAATGGGACGGACCATACCGGATTGTGACAATAATCAATGACGTAATCTACCAGATACAGAAAGGTGCAAGAGGTACTCCAAAGAACGTCCATGTAAACCGACAGGTGCGTTATTATGGGGCCAATAATGCTCGGGACGAGCATGTCTTAGGAGGGGCAGTGTTGCGTGTCATACTTATTGGCACTAGCGCCATCTAGTATCAAGTAGCAGACCTAGGAGAGCTTTCCAGAAAATTCCTTACTAAAACTTTCTATACCTAGTCGTTAGGGACCGGCATGTGCTCGAACATTCCAGATGTTTCAGTACAAATGGCCCTATATAAGGCCAGTATGGACCGAGAGCGGGGGAGCATTTGATTGGCAATCCAAGCGAATACTTCGAAGCGATTCAACTGCAAACTAAAGAGATTATTGTGATTAAAATTATTAGTGTATTTTAAGTTGTAATTGGTGTTCGATAATTAAAGTGTCAATTTTGGTATGTAATTCAATCGGCAGTTTTTACTGTCACGAACCCCAAGCTTGTAACATTATGTTATGCATCGAATCCGTCAAAATGTAGTGGCGCAGTGCGAAATACTTTTCCCTGCTCCAAAACTTGCTCTCAAAAATATGAAGGTGTCAATGCCCAGATGTGGTAATTATATAAGCTATATACGTCTTTAACTTTTAATTTAAAAAAAAAAAACACCTTAATGTATACACTTTTCACAAACAAACACATTTTCTTCATATTAACATCATCGCCACCGCTCTTGTGAACCCTATCTACATCACAATGATTTTCCGGTTAATATTTAATTTGTATATATTAAGAAAGAACACAATAGAAAATACTTTCGAATACGTATTTCAAGTTTTTCTGCCTATGAGTTATTTATAGATAAGCAAAGATGAATACACACATGAATAAAAAAACATAATCCGATTTTTACTTCGCAGTAGACGGATAAAAGTAAGTTATAATATATTACTTTTAAAGGCTTAAAGCTTAAGTAGCTTTGTGTTAAAAGCGTTATGACAAAGTACAGTTACAGCCTACACAAGTTGCACTGAAATGAAATTAAATGAATGATTTTTATTCAATATAGATTAGATTGAATAATACTTATTGAAAGTCATTTTTATTTACCACAGCTAAGCATAGGCTCCCATTCATTTGCCAAGTATGAGTGTTACTAATTTGCCAATTATGCCAAAACCCAAGAGGGTTTTAACACACTCATACTTGGCAGGAGAGCCTACCGCGCCACCACATGCGGTTTTGAGGACTTCACATCTCAAGGTTTTTTTTTTCTCAGATATTCACCGCAGTATTAAACTGTAATTTAATTTGTGCCGGTAGCATTGAAACTTCTAATAAAAATTTAAAATAAAATTAATTTCTTCATGGAAAATATAATAATATACTACACAAAATCAAATGAAAATTTCTAGTTTAATGAAGTTGGTGTTATTAAAAACAAAGATTTTGCTTTTAAGCTTAACTAATATGTATTCCCTAATAAAAATACGTTGTGCGAAGAATATAAGCTATTGTTGTGCTAAAGCAATTGTTTACTAAGTTCGTCCTCAGTCGTGTCTATCGCAGGCGTTTCTATCTTAGTTTCAATATTTGTAATTGTTTCGTCAATAGAAATAATACATTCCAATTAGTGAAGACGAAAGTTTCCCATTAATCTGATATTAGCTAGATTGAATGAAACTAGATTTATTAGTTTACCATGACCATTAGATTGGTCCATAGTTTTATCATTTAAATCCATCAAAGAAAAGATCCATGAGAATATTTTTTGTAGAAAAGTAACAGTTGTTTTTTACATTTTCATTAATTACAATTGCAGTAATTTTTAAAAGGAACCTGTGCGTTGAGATTTTAAACCTAATAAAAAAGAATTATTTTGATACATTAATTCTGACGGCCGTAATCGTGCGCTATTCACAAATACAGACATCCGGAAACCCTCGATTTTTTAATCAGTTTGTTTTTACACTAAATACAGAAAATTACTTTTAAAAATAATAGAAACATGAAAACGAGGGACTTTGAGGAGAAAGCCCTTCTTACTGCTCCTGTAAATCCAAGGTTCTACAAGCGGTACGTAGACGACCCTTTCACAATTTTACCATCTGACAAAGTAACTGCATTTTTAGACCACCTTAACTCCATAAACTTTAAAATATAGTTCACAATGGAGTTAGAAACAAATAATTCTTTAGCCTTCCTAGATGTTTTAGTCATCCGAAATCCTGATAACACTATTGGTCACACTGTGTATAGGAAAAAGACCCATACCAACCGATATCTAAATGGTGAATCTCACCATCATCCTTCACAGTTTGATACCGTGGGTAAATCTTTGTTTCAGAGAGCACGAGGGATCTGTGACAGAAAACATCTGGCCGCGGAGCTTCAGCACGTCAAGCAAGTATTGTAAGATAACAAGCTTCGGGTCCCGCGCCTACGTCACAGTGAACGAGTGAAGCCGGTCACAGTCGAGCGCGCGCCTGCTCTACTACCATATGTCAGAGGAGTCACGGACAAGATTGGCTACATCTTGAAGCGAGCGTCCATTAAGACATACTACAAGCCGCTAAAGAAGATTAGTCAATTTTTACCATCCATCAAATGTAATATTCCTCTACAAGATGCAGGTGTGTACAAGCTAGATTGTGAATGTGGTCTCTCTTACATAGGTCAAACAAAGAGATCTATAAAAACCCGCGTGAAGGAACATATAGCTGATGTGAAGCACCGACGCTCCGGGAAGTCTGCAGTCTGCGAACATGTTCAAGATCGTCCCCACCATTACATTAGATTTGATAAGCCACAAATTCTCGCAAAAGAACACCGATTCCTACCAAGGATGATACGCGAGGCTATTGAAATTAAAAAACTTCCAAATTTCAATAGAGAAGATGGTTGGGTGCTACCATCTGCTTGGGGTCCTATAATTAACAAAATTAAACCCAAACCCAAGCATACCACTGCAAGACTTCATGATACCATAAGCTAGTTTTGCGTAAATCGGACCAAAAATTAATATTAAAAAAACTGAAGGTAGCCGGAGTAACTATGACATTGGGACGTCAAACATCTCAGTCCCCCCCCCCGTGAGTATGGGTGCTGTAAAGCAACCGAAACGTCGGGATAATAATAAAAATAAATTAAAGTAATTAAACGCGATAAAATCCGTAAATAATGGTTTTATTCAAAACTGCGGTTGCTATCTCGCTTGCCAAACGTTTCAACTATGGCAAATTACTACCCCTTAATCTACATACAACGAGGCCTATTTAAGGCAGTGGATTTTATCTAAATTATAAAGGAGGGTTGGGCTATCAGCCTGTAGATCTCCTACTGGACATGGACCTATAGCTTTTCAGCGAGTGGTCTTAATCGTCACGTTTGGAAGACTTATAGATGGTCGCAGTACCACACATCTCGCGCCTGCTGCTCGACGCTGCTGCTCTTCGTCGGTCTGGATTTTTATGAATGGCCTAAACGTAAAATGGACACTACGACATCGCGGGCAGTTGCGGACAGTGTCATCTCCTTGTTTTTGCGCGATAATAATACAAAGTGATGTTGTTTTGAAGGACATATAGCTACAATATAAACATAGTGATATTAAAAGTTAAAAACTGTATTTTTTAGTACTTTTAGTGGACTTTTTTGTTGAGTTTTTAGTGAATTTTACACATCAGTACTATTTTCAGGTGTGCATCTACCCTCACATAGACAATAAAAGGCCCAAACTTAAACTTTATAAAACATTTAATTTATTTCAATTTGATAAACAATTTTGCTTAACTCTCTACTTATATTAACCATAGTTCACTGTGAAATGGCAAAGTGTGGAACCTGTGGGCGCTTCCTGAATTCGGCAGACGCTGTAGGTTGTTGTAACTGTAAGGTTATACACCACCGAGGTTGCGTTGCGATCTCTGAAGGAACTCGCGTGCCTAGCAATTGGGTGTGCTCGAATTGCAAGATAAAACCACCGCGTCAGGGCAACATTTCGTCGGTCCCTGTAACACCTGCACAATCGAGGGTTCTCGTTAGTACCAGGGATACTGCCGATACCATAGCCTGTGGTAGTGATAATGAAGTCACGCCCACCAACAAGTCGGCGGAGCTGAGTGAACTTGTAGCTGAAATGCGCTTTCTCCGGAATGAAATAACAGCTATGAGGAGTGAGCTTAAGGACTACAGAACGGAGATTGCAGGTTTTCGTAGCTCTCTGGAAAACCTTAACGTACGGGTTGACAGCACCGACGAGCGGGTCACCTTGCTTGAAAAGAAGTTGGTTGAGACCTCAACTTCAAACCACTCATATGAGTCCATTATTCAGGACCTTAGGTCACAAATAAATGAACGTGACCAAGACATGTTGCATGATGATGTTGTGCTGTCCGGTGTGCTCGAGGCTAGGGGGGAGAATGTCATCCACCTGGTCAAGGCTGCGGCAGGGAAGCTGGGTGTCACCTTGGATGACCGTGATGTGGTTTTTGCTGAGAGGGTTGGAGCAGTGCGGCGAAACCGTACCGCCGGCGAGGGTGATACGGCCCCCAGGCGCATCGTGGTGCGATTTGCGCGCCGCGCGCTGCGTGATGACATGCTGCGCTCGGCGAGAGTTCGTCGTGGCGCCACCACTGAGGGCTTCGGGTTGGCAGGTGAGGCCCGCCGTTTTTATGTAAATGAGCACCTCACTCGCTACAATCGTCAGATCTTCGCCAAGGCACGAGATTTGGGACGCCGTCTGAAATGGAAATTTATCTGGACCAGGTCTGGTAAAATTTTTGCCCGAAAAGATGACAACGGACAAATCGAACGTATTAAATACGAATCTGACCTTAATAGGGTTTTTGGTTCTGGTCAGATTTGAAGGAAACAAACAAAAACATTTATTTTATTAACAATATATTATATACATACTTAACAAATAAAGTTTACTACTATCTTATGTTGAAAGAGATTCCCTATCGAATGTTTTATAAAACCCTCTGTAAATTACTTATGCTACTGTTGCATATTTATGTTGAAATATCCTCTCTCAATGGCAACTGTCACATTTTAAGTAATGTTTTACTGAGGAAGAGCATTTTTTATTGTATAAATAACTGTTGTTTATATTTCAAATTTTACTTTTTTACGATATCTAGTACTGATTTTAGTGCATATATTGATTTTATTCTAAATATGATTGAAACTGTGTTAAAAACAGAAAAATGTATAAAGTCCTTGCTTCTTGCAGTCTATATTGGGTTGCAACTACTATATAAAATCAACCTATTTAATTTACATAGCCTATATACATCATTAATCTCATTTATATATCTTTCATTACTTGTACTCACAAATGCACTCGTTTATAAATTTATAGATTCAACTTGTTTATTAAGCCTCTTTTTGAGTCTTATGCAACCTCAAAATTTTTTACTTTTTTCTCCAATTTACACTAATACGCTACAAGTGTACACTAACATTCAATATATAATATATATTTATATTATTTACTACTCCCAATGATTCAAGCTAAATATCTAAAAATTGGTCTATATAATGCAGGTTCTCTTAATACTAAAAGTGATGAGTTTATAGTAGCAGTTGAGAATCGTTCACTAGATATTGTAGCTATTAATGAAACATGGCTTAGAGCGGGAGAAGAAAGTAGCGCACCCATACTGCCGGGTTATACATTTAGACATGTTCCCAGATCCCATTCAATTCGGACAAGGGGTGGTGGAGTAGGTTTTTATATTAGGCGTGGTCTACGTGCTATTAATTGTCCACATCCATTGTCTAATACATCTGTGGAACAAATGTGGGTCTCTTTAAATATTAACTCCCTTAAACTTATTATTGGCACAGCTTACCGCCCACCATGGTTAGATCTTGACACATTCTTGGATGCCATTACAGAATCTATTGTTACTCTTTCTAATCATGATAAATGCATTCTGCTAGGGGATTTTAATGTTGACATGCTGCAATCAAACAGTAGAGTAAGGAAACTAAATGCATTCCTATCTTCTACCAATTTAAAAAATTGTGTTTTACAGCCCACTCATTTCACTGACCACAGTGCATCATTAATTGATTTAATTTGTACCGACGTTAACACTCTCTCAGTCAACGTCGACCATATTTCAGAGCTAGGTGGGCATGCATTAATATCTGCCGAGATTAAAATTAAAAAACATAAATTTAAATCAAGATGGATCTCCTACAGACCATTTAAAAATATTATTTTGGATAATTTCAACAAAGACCTGGTTTCTTTACAATGGGAATACATAAATTCAGCAACTTCCGTAGATGATATGATTGAGATCTTTAACACATACATAAATATACTGTTTGATTTACATGCACCTATGACACAGTGTAAAATAAAATATAGGGCAACCCCATGGCTTACTAGCAATGTGCGCTTTATGATGAAGCTTAGAAATAAAGCTCATAAAGTGTATCTTGCTGATAAATCCGTGTCCAACAGAGAGCACTACAAGTCCTTAAAAACTTTGGTAACATCTGCCTTATTCCATGAAAAAAAGCTTTCTTCGAACACCATATAAATTGCAAAATAGCATTCCCTAAGCAATTATGGAGGAACCTTAAATACACACTAGTTCCAAGTTTCAAGGACACAGGTGACCTCCCTGCTTTCTTTGACAATCCCTGTACCATCAATTCTTTTTTCTTGGATATCCCTGAGAACAATAAAGAATCAATGTCAGAACTCACATATTATGAGTTTCACAGATATAGTGACACTACTTTCATGCTATCACCAGTGAATAGCGACCTAGTAGCTAGGACAATTTTGGCAATAAAATCTAATGCGCAGGGTATTGATGGTGTGAGTAGAGACATGGTAACCCTATCTCTTCCTCACACCCTCGATACCATCACTAATATCATTAATAAATCAATCACCAGCTCTACCTTTCCCAGTCAATGGAAAACAGCATTAGTGCGGCCTATCCCAAAGAAAGCCAACCCAAGCAGTGTCAAGGAGTTAAGACCCATTAGCCTCTTGCCTTATCTATCTAAAGTTCTGGAAAAAGTTGTATATAATCAGGTCTATACATATTTGGAAAGACATAATATTCTGCCACAATATCAGTCAGGTTTCCGCAAAGGCCGTAGTACTTGTACAGCACTTGTTGATGTTGTGGACAATATACTAGCTTCTAGAGATCAAGGTAGGGGGACGGTTCTTGTTCTCCTTGACTACTCCAGGGCATTTGACAGTATTAGCATTAACATGCTCCTTTCTAAAATGTCTTATTATGGCTTCGAAAATAGTACAATTAAGTGGTTTCACAGTTACCTCTGTGGCCGACATCAGATTGTTGAGCTGCACAAAACGGATGGTACAGGTACTATTCAGTCACACCCTCTACCTGTTACTAGGGGTGTTCCACAGGGCTCCATATTAGGGCCCCTCCTGTTTATTTTATACTGCAGTGATTTGATTCATGTGATTAAAAACTGTAAATATCACATGTATGCTGACGACCTTCAGCTATATCTGTCATTCCATCCTTCAGAGGTTTCCGATAGTATAAATAGAATTAATCAGGACTTGGAGCGCATTGCACAGTGGTCTAAAGTGAACTCGCTTATTCTCAATCCAGCTAAAACAAAATTTATGATATTAGGATCTGGATACCAAATTAAGAAAATAACTGACAGTCAACCCAGAATATTATTGGAAGGAGAAATCATTCAGCAGGTAGAAGAGGCTCGCAATCTTGGCCTTAAAATAGACGGCATGTTGCAATTTGAGAGTTATGTTTTAGATGTGGTGCGTTCTTGTTTTTATAGGTTAAAGGTACTTTACAAGATACGTGATTACCTAAGTTTGAATTTAAGAGTAACCCTTTGTGAGACTCTCATCTTGTCTAAACTAAATTACTGCATTTCGGCCTACGGACCCTGTCTCTTAGCGAAAACAATGAAGCTCCTTCAGCGAGTACAAAATGCATGTGCTCGTTTTTGCTTTAATATCCCTCCGAGAGCACATGTTTCTCCTTATTTGGAAAATAGCAAACTGCTTAACATGTCATCAAGGCTCAAATTGCACTTTGCTACTTTACTATTTGGAGTAATTAAAAACAAAACTCCTGAATATTTATATGAAAAGCTTACCTGGTCCAGTGAACATAACTTTCACTGTACTCGTGGCGCTAAGTTTTTACTTACTGTTCCAGGACACGTCACGGCTGCTTTTCGCGGCAGTTTTCGCTACCTAGCAACAAAGTGTTGGAATAATCTCCCACCCCCCCTTTCGTGAAATTCAATCCAAGGTTAATTTCAAAATGCGATATAAATTGTACCTTCTAGATAACAAAGAAAATACAAAGTAACAATACAAAGACTGGTTGTTGATACACTAGGTAGGTGGTTTGCGTTATTATTATTTTACTTTAATTTTTGATGGTTCCCTATGTTCTAAAGAATAAAGTACGTAATGAAATTCAATTTCTATTATATTATAATTGAAATTGAAATAGATGACCGTAGTGACTTATTCTCTTTGTAGATGACATGTACAAGCAGTTGTTGTTGTTGTTTTTGTTATTCGCTCGTGAGAGCAGGCAAAGGAACTATGCCATACAGCCTTGTCTTTGTGTATAATTATCCTTCGTAATTCACTGCTTCAAAACATGTTGATGCGTCACATGGTGCAGCCCTTGGGAGATTCTGATGGCAACTTGAGCCAGCAGGCAGCAGACAATTGGCGATGGTATCCAAAGATGCCTATGCAAACAGCTTATCTTGAGAATCCATCTCCATCAGAGCACATGTTTCACAGCTTCCACTAATAGTTCACATGCGCAGACACTTAATACACAAAATCGCATATTGGTCAATGATGTACACCATTGTCCAGGAATTAGCTCTATAACATAGTATAAATATTTTTAATTTATTATTATTATTCCTTTCATTATTCTATTATATACTATTGCCAACATAGTTAAAAGTAATATATTTATCTATTTATTTTTCATTATTTATCGTTTTTCAGAATATTATCTTTATATTATACTACATAAACATATACATTTAAAATATCTTTAGTTTTTTTTTGCATTAAATCTGTCTGACAGCTGCTCGTATGTTTTAGATTAGTGGTCCCGACAGAATAACAGCGCTGCGGCTCTTTGCTGTAGCATAATGCTGAGTCGGGTCCTTTTCGTTGCTGCAATCCAACATAAATTTAAATACTTTTTATAAATACTTTTTACTATTAATTGTTTATTTTTTTGTGTTGAGTTAATTGTTTGTTTTTTTTATGTGTTTGTATTAGCGTAGCAACGAATAAAGTTATTTTCTTTCTTTCTTTCTTTCTTCAAACGAGATGGTTACCCCGTCTACCGGAAGCCATAATGCCTTTTTCCATCATCACACAGCTGATCACTACTAGAACAGTAACAAATTCTCCATCAGTCTAAACAAGCACTACTCTCTACTGCTGCACATACTCTCTTTCCACAATTTGTACAACTTTACATATCGTATAAATTTTTTTTTGTTTTATTAAGGACAACAAACAGTTGTATAATAAAAATTACAATTCAAATACTATGTAAATAGATAAACTAATTACACAACCAACACCGTTATCCACAAAATTACCGTACTAATTAAAGTTATAAGGCACAGAAAACACAAATATAGAATAAAACAACTAAAAAAAGAAACTAAAAACTAGACAACAATGCGTACTTAGCCGTTATCAGCAAAATCGTGAATATTACATATTTATTACAAAAAAATAAAACAATTTAGATTAACGTTATAAAATTATAAGAAAATAGTGTTACGGACTTGAGGTTCGTGACAATAAAAATTGCCGATAGGATTACCAAA